TTGTTTTTTTTTTTTTTTTTTTTTTTTTTAATACCCTTAATATTATTTTTATTTATGATATTAATATATTTATAAAAATAATTATTATTATAAATTTATGATATAATATAATTATTTTTATATATCAATAAAAATAAATTTTAATATATTTTTTTTTTTTAAAAAAAATTAATAAAAAAAACTTCTAAAAAAAAAATAAAAATACTTTAAAATAAAAAATAATAAAAAAAAAATTTTTTAACTTTTAAAAAAAAATTATAAAAAATGCCTAAAAAACCCCCTAAAAAAAAAAAAGTATAAACATAAAAATCGATTATAAATATAATATTTAAATAATAAGGGAACCGAAGGATTAATACATGACTATGCCTGCAGCTGATCTAACTTTAAATTTAAAAAAATTAAAAGGTAAAAAAAGCAAGCTTTATATAACAAAAAACTATTAAATAATACATAAACAAAAATATATTTAAAGAAAAAGTAAATGAAATGAAAATAAATAGAAATTATATTTAAATGGATCGTGATATGGTCGAGAATTTTTATCATAATACCCTAAAAGAAGTCCAAGAAATAAGTACCAAAATATGTAATAAAGAGACTGAAGCAGAAGAAAAGGAATACAAACACCGAATAGATGTCAAAGTGTTTTTACAAAAGGTAAATAATCATCTATTATATATATATATATATATATATATATATATATATATATATATATATATATATATATTTATTTTAACAGGTAAAACATTTAGAATACGAACAAGAAAAATCCAATTAAGCAATTGAAAAAGACGGTATAGATGCTAAAAAGCTTGAAGACGATTATTTCGATGACCGTACTCTTCAAATGAAAACAAATAAGAAGTAACTAAAAGACGAATATTAATAAAGCGACAATCATTATATAAGTGAGGTAAATCGTGAGCAAGAATAAAACGAGAAACTTATATAAATGCAAAAATAAAACTTTGAAGATAAAATAAAACAATTAATTTAAAAATACGAGCAAAGACTTGCAAAATTAAAAGATGATCTAGAGCTTAAATTAAAGGTAGAAATCCATGAATTAGAAGAAAGGAAGAATCTTCATATAAACGAGCTTATGATGAACCATGATAATGCTTTTGCGGAACTAAAGAAATACTACAATGATATAACTGCCGAGAATTTAAATTTGATAAAAGCACATAAAGAGAAAATAGCCTAGATATATGCCAAAATATAAACCAATAAAAAAATAGTATAAGAACTACAAGCCGAAAACGATAAAATGAAAAAACCTCTTGAAGATAAAAGGAAAATCAGGGACAAATTAAAAGAAGATCTTAAATAATTTTCCAAACATAAAATGTCTTTATAAAATCTCAAGTCTAAATAAATCACTCTAAAGGAAAAAATCAATAAACTATAAATAGATGGACAAGATCTTGATATTAAATATGAAAAAGTCATTAAAGAAAAAAAGAAATGGAAGAAAAATTCGAATTAATCACTACAGAAGTCAAATAAAATGCTAATTTACATAACATTATACTTTCATAAAGACTATAATAAATCATAAACTAATATAACGCAAAAGAAGAAGAACTTAAGCATATTATATAATAATCCGGAATAGACCAAAATGTATAAAGTCAACTCAAAAATAAAATCTAGTAATCTATAGAAACTAAAAATATGCTTATTAAGAATCTTAAATATTCAATTCATCATGCTACAAAGGCTTATAATGATGCTATTAGAGTATATGAAGCTAAATTAGTAGAATTTGGAATTCCTATTGAAGAATTAGGCTTTTAACCTTTAGAAACTATTACTTCTACAATGCCTGCTGGCTTAGTTTCTTCATGAAAAAAACGAATATTTATTTATATATATATATATATATACATAAAAAAAAAGTAAAGAATTAAATTTTAACAATTTATTTTTATTAAAATAAAATAAAAAAAATACATGTTTTTATGTTATTTACATTTAAAAAAAAAAAAAAAATTAAAAAGGAGGAAATCTTTTTTTTTTTTTTTTAAAAAAAAAAAATAAAAATACAAAATTTTCATCTTTATATCTTCAAACTTTTTTAATTAATATTATTATTAAAATTAAATCCTTAGAAAAGTACTGGAAATTAATTAGATTCAAACTATACATTGTTTGCCGATTTTTTATGATTATCTTTATGAATATTAGGTAAATTTATATATTATATTGAGTCTACTATATTTTCTTTTTATTATAATGAATTAAGAATTGATTATGTAGAAAGCAATTAAATATCAGTATATAAATTATTTTTTTTAAATTCATCTTACATAAAGGCACATTATTTTAATAATTAATCTTTAGTATTAGAAAGATCTGCAATAGATTTATAATGTCTTCTATTTTTTTTAAATTCGTTTTATATTTATAGAATCTTATGTGAGTCTATCTACTATGGGATATTATATCTTAATTTATGGTTTAATTTTAGAAGAATTTATATAAATTTAATTGCGCTTTTTTTAACAGATTCCTTAGCGTTTAGTTTGCTCAAAATAATCATCGATTTTTACTCTAAATTTTACAAAGAAAGCACATTAGTAAGCGAATTTACTAACACAGAAAGCATAAAAGTACCTGAAAATATAGCCAAAGTAACCACAAATCGGCCATGATAAGTTACTGGAAATACATCTCCATATCCTACGGAAGGAATAGTAATTAAAATACACCACATAGGAACAGAAAAATTATTAAAACTTTTAGCATCTTCGATATTTTTCTTTATATCACCATTTAAATTTGGATCAGAAATTAATCTATATATAGGTCTTTCGCAAATTCTTGTACCATAACTAAATACAAAAAGAGATATTAAATATATAAACCAAAAACATTTCATAGGATGTTTTTTCGTTAAAACTTTCATTATAAATAATGTATCCATTTTACAAGCATACATTTAACTAAAATTAAATATATAAAAAATATAAAAAAATATATATAAAAATATATAAAAATATAAATATATATATATATATATAATATATATATATATTATATATTTGCTTATTTATATATATATTTATTTATATTCATAATTTATTTTTATATATTATATACCAAACTCTATTTACTCTATCTGAACTCCATTCTGTAGTATGTAAAATTATTTTAAGCATAATAATAATTCTTAAAAGCATTACGAGAGTCATAATTTCATTTAAATAATGAAAACATTCTACATTATAAAAATCTACATTGAAATATATTTTCTTATCTATAAACCAAGGTAATGGTATAATCATATATCCAGCCATCTCTAATATCATATATTTCCATTCTCCTGTATTTATTACATTGCAATTATCTCCATATTCTTTTGTGGAGACTCTATATTAAGTAAAAGCTACATATGAATAATAAGTCATGAATACTTTTAATTTTTTATTTATTTTAGTTTTGTCTAAACATATATTTTTATTTTTACTTAATAATATTGATGTAACAAAAATTATATATAAAAATTATTTCGAAAACTCTTCATCTTTATCTGAAAATTCAAGTTCATACTATTTTTTTTTTTATTATAAATATTATATAAAAACATTTTTTTACTTATAACACTGCTACTCCTTATGCAATTAACATTAAATTAAATCTTATAAGCTCAAGACATCTATATTTTTCGAAATAAAATTTAGATTCTTGAGCATTTTCAAGTTTTTCGACTTTTTCTTAACCCAAAAATAACTCATTAATTTATCTTTTGTTTTAAATAAATAATCTATGTTTTGCTAGGTTTATAATTTTACTTTTTTATACCTGTTAATTCTATATTTTTTTCCATTATTAAAAATAAGAAATAATTTTGTTATTATTTTTTTAGTAAATACAAACTTAAAAAAAAAAAAAAAAAAAAAAAAAATTAAAATACATATATATATATATAAAACATTTTTTTTTTAAAAAAAAAAATAAAAAACAATTAATAATTTTTTTTCTTTCTTTTTTCTTTAAAAAATATAAAAATAAATTATAATATCAAATAATATATTATTATTTTTATCATTTCTTTATTCTTAATTTGTTTTTTTAGTTAAATAAATAATACAAAAAAAATAAAATAAACAAAACAAAATCATTATTATTTATTATTACTTTATTATTATCCATTTTAACCCTTAATCATTATCTATTATTTCTTTATTATTATCCATTTTAACCCTATTAACCTTCTTGTATATCTGCTTGATTAAGCATAAAAACAACTGCAATGGCAATTATAATATACCAATACTAAAAAGTAAACAAAAAAAAATATATAAATTATAACAATTCTTTTTATTTACATATTTTTAAATAAATCCCATAATGCCTTATTATTAAGGAATTTCTTATTCAATTCCAATATGGCTTTTTTCTTCTTTTTTTTTTTCTTATTTTATAAAGAAAGCACTTTTTTTTTCAAACAATAACAAGAATAGGTTATATATATATATATATATATTTAAATTATTATATATACATACGTTTATGAACTTTAAGTAGAATTTATTTAAATTAATATATTATTATTTTCAATATATTCTTCTTCTTCCATTAGTTTTTATTTTTTCCCTCTTTTATTTTGATTTTTTGAGGCAATAGCATAATTGAATGAAAATATATTATTTCCTTCATTTGTATTAACTTCTATGACTTCCTTAAATTCATCTTTAGGTAAGTTTTTTAAACTTTTTTAATAAAAAAAATAAAATGTTAATTAAAAATAAACAAAAAATACTCAATTAATGTTAAATATTCTCTTTCAGGTATATCTTCATTTAAAAATTTCAATTAAACAAAAGAATGTTATAACTATATTGAAAAAATAAAAAAAAAAAAGAGTATAAATAAAAATAAATATAAAAATACATTATCTTATCTAATTAATTTTTTAGATATTATTGAATCTGCATTATCAAATAAATTAATTGTACCTAATTTAGTATTAATTTTTAATTCTATTTATCCTATTTTATTCCATGATACTTAATCTTTATTAATTAATGAAATTATTATAAATATTAAATATTTATTAAAAAAGAATAATGTTACCAGTTAAAAATGTTTAATAAATATCAAATATTTAACAATTAACAAAAAAAAATAAAACTAATATTATAAAAGAAAATAAAAACATTTTTTTATAGATATTTATATTATTTTATAGAATGATATAAAAACAAATATAAATAATTAAATATTATAATAAAATATTAAATTATTTTAATTTAATTTAATTTAATTTAATATATATATATATATATATATATATATATATATAAATATATATATATTAACATATATATATATATTAACACATATATAAAATTTTTTATGTATAGTTATAAATATTTATAATTCATTTTTGATTTTATTTTCTTAACAAATCATTAAAATCTTTTCCTAATAATAAAATATCATTTCTAAGCCTTATATTTTCTATTGCCATTTTCTTGTATTAAAAGTTTATTTATTATTTATATTAGAGATATATATTTATTTAAATATAATTATATTTTAAAAAAAAATATATTTTTTTTTTATCTATATATAGATATATATATATATATATATATCATTTTATAATTTAATATATATTTTTTTTAATACTTCTATAACTTCCTATAATTAAATATAATTAAAACTTTTATATTAACTTATTTCTTCTATATCTTAATTATCATATCTGTAAAACAAAAATATAATAAATTTTAAAAATAAATATTTATATTTTTAATACATATTTTTTATGTCTTTTATATCCTCTAAACATGGATTTTTTTGGAAAATTTCTTTGCACAACTATTAAATTGTAGCATTTTTTCCTTCAATTATTTTTCTTAATTGCACTATAACTTTTTCATTTTAAGCTAGAATTAATATTTTTTAATTTAATTCATTCTCAAAAATATAATAAAATACAAATAAAAATATAAATAAAATTACTTCCAATTCTTCATTTTTAATATATAGAGTTTCCATAATAATTTTATCTTTTTTGAGAATTATACCACTATTGTTATTGTTTTAATTATTTAAACTATATTATTATTATATTATTATTATTATTATTATTATTATTATTATTATTATTATTATTATTATCATTATTATTTATAAAATCAACACTTGAATAAATATTTTTACTTTAAACCTCTCTTAACTACTTTACATCTTTTTCTAAACTTTCATTCTTCTAGCTTAATTCTTTTAACAGCGTAGCCTTATTTTAAATTATATTTTTAAGTTCTGAAATTTCATTTTTATATTTATTTTATAAAATTTCCACTTCATTCTACGCATCTTAAACCATAATATTAAATCCATTATTTTTTTCTTCTAAAGTTTTTATATTCCCTTCTAATCTTTGATTTTTTTTTCTAAATATTTTAATTAATTTTAATTTTCAATTTAAAAATCTTCTAAATTAATTTTTTAATTTTCCAATAATTTAATACTTTTATCTTTTTCAATTATTTAACTTTCCATTTTTTCCATTTAAACTTCTAAATTTTCATATTCATATTTTAATTTATCATATTCATTTTTTAGTTCTAAAAAGCCGCTCATATTTTCACTTAATTCCTATATTTATTTATTTAAAGAAGCATTAGAATTTCTCATATTTTACAAATTTATTTCCAAATTGAATTTTTCTTTTGCTAATTCCCTTTAACTTCTTAATTCTTACTCTTTAGCTTAAAAATCTTCCTCTAAAGTTCTTAATTTGCATTTATTTTCTTAATTTTCAGTCTCCATCTTTGCTAAATTACTAGAATATTCATCAATCATATTTTATAATGCTCTACATCTTTCTTCTAAAGACTCTATATCCATATATTTTTTAATTTCCTCGGTTTAATTAGCCTTTTATTTATCGAAATTTTATTTCAATTGACTATTTTCATTCTTTAATAAATTATTTTCACTTTCTATTGCCTTCTTTTATTACTCCAATTGCTTCTTGGATTTTTATAAATCTTTTACTTTAACATCCCATGCTTTTAAATCTTCTAAAGTCATAGTGATTGTATTTTTATCTTTTTTTTAACTTTATTACTATAACTATTCTTTTAATTATTCAATTTATGTTTTTTATTCTTAAACTTACTTTTCATAAATTTCGATTTATGTTTATAGTTTTACTAACGGTATTTATTCATCTTATTATTAATCTTATATTTATTGTTTTTCTTATTCTATTTATAAATCTTTATTTTATTCTTCTTATATTTTTTCTTATATTTATTCATTTTTTTATATTTATATTTGTTAAGGTTATTTTTCTTATATTTAATCTTATTCTTCTTTTTATTATTATGTTTCTTATATTTATTCATCTTATATCTGGTTTTATTAAATTTAATCTTTTTCTATTTCTATTTTTTATTATTCTTAATTTTAATTTTGGGGATTTATAGAAATTTCAGGCTGTAGGTCAGATTAGGGATTTTCGATATTTTATATACTCATTTTTTTTATATTTATTAGATTTTATTTTTATAAATATAAATAAAAAAATTATTTTATTTAAATATATAATAAATATTATATAAAATAATTTTAAAATATTCTTTTGTATTAAATTTATGAAAATAAATGAAAAAATAAAAAAATTAAAAAAAGAAATATAAAATTATAATAGTAATAATATATAATTAGAATAAATAATATCTTATAAAAATATAAAAAATACATATCATTATATTAAAAAATAAATAAAAAATTAAATACCTTTAAAGGTAATATATAGTATCTAAATTTTTTTAAATATATATATATATATTAATGTGGAAATTTTATATTGATAAAAAAAAAAAATTATTAATAATATTTTTATTTAATATTTTTATCTTTATATTAATTTCTCAATAAAATAAAAAGTGATTTCAATTAAGAAAATCCTATAAATAAAATTATATAAATTATTAATAATAAAAAATTTACAAAAGGATTATTACTATTAAAGTTATTATTATTATTATTTTTATTAATATTATTAAAATTGATATTATTATTATTATTATTAGTATTATTATTATTATTATTATTTTAATTTATATTAATATTATTATTCATATTGTTATTATTTATTAAATAATTGTTATTGTTATTATTACTATATGTGCTTTACATATTTAATTAATTATTTTAAGCTATTTTTAAATATTTATAATTAATAATTATATTATATTAATATTTACATTAAAAGGCTGAATTATTATTATTATCAAATATATCAAAAGCAGAATAATTATTAATTTAATTAAAATTATTTTAATTTGTATTATTTATTGTCATGCTTTAAAAAGCTTGATTAATTTAATAATTTTAATTATAAAACTAATTATTATTATTATTATTATTATTATTATTATTATTATTATTATTATTATTATTATTATTAGAATTATTATTTTAAAATCCTTTTAATATGCTCTCACTATTAGCAAAATTTCTTTATTATATATTATTATTATTATTACTCTAATAAAAATTATTTAATTATTAACTTTATGTGTTCATAATATTATTTTAACCTTAAGTATTACTATTAAATTAAGAACTCATTATATTTTTTTAATTATTATCATTTAGATTATCTAATTAATACCTTTAATTATCTACTTGACTATATTACATTTAATCTAAAAAAGGATTCTATTCTTTTTCTAAACTTATTAGTTAATCAAGTAGATTTTACTTTTATTTTATTTACTAAATATTAACACTTTACTCAACATTTTTACTAGTTTATTTTTTCAAATCTTCTAACTTTAGTGAATTTCTTCTCTAAAAACCTGAAATTTCAGCATTATTTATAGTAGAGCTTCTTTATACTTATGAATTTAAATTTTAATTCTTTTCTTAATAGTTAATAAAAACTAAAAAAACAATTTTTTTTTTATAATAAAAGCTTACCAACTAAATATCTTAATACATACTTTCAGGATTTTGTACTTCTTATAGTTTTTCATTTATATCATTTGTTAATTAATTTTAAGTTTTAATATAACTAATAAAAAATTTATTAATTCCTTCAAATCTAGACTCATAAATATTTTTTATTTCCAAAAAACATTTTTTTGCACTATTTTAGTGAGTATTTTAAGAATCACTGAATTTTTTTCATTCTTTTTATTTATTTATTTATTTTATTTTTTTTAAAAAAAAAATACTCTCTCTAGTCTTTATAAGTCTTTTTAAGGTATTTGTTTATTCATTTATATATTATAATTGTGTTTATGTCTTAGTTTTTCGATTTTTTATAAATAATGTTAGTATTTTTTCTTTATTGTTTCATAATTTTCTTTTATATTTTTAACAGATTCGAATTTTGTATTCCAATCTTAAAAACACATTTTTATATTTTATAATGATTTTGCCTTTTTTTTTTTAACAAAAAATAATAATTATAATATATATATATATATATATATAATACTGCTTATTTATGGGCAACTTCTATATTTTTAAATACATTGGATAATTAAAAAGCTACGCCTCTAAAAACACAAGTTTTATCATATAATTTAGTTAGTTCTTGGGAGAGTTAATAGTTATGAGATCCAATACCTTTTTAATTATAAATATATGTATATATAAATAAAATTTCTTACTCACTAAAGTATTGGAATAGGATAAAACTAGAGAAGAAACTCTTTAAATAGAGTTATTAATTTCTAAAATATCAGTAATTTACTTTTAGTATTAAATGTCGGAAGAATTATTAAAATTCATATTTTTATTTTAATATATAAAATTAGAAAAAAATAAAATATATGATATTTTTTTATTTTTTCCCCTTAAAAAAATTAAAATAAAGAAATAAAAAAAAAAAGGTTTTATTTTAAGTAAAAATAAAACATGAGTGAATAAAAAAATAATAGTTTTTATAAAAATTTAATTCATGATAAATTAATAAATAAACATAATTCAGGAAATTATTTATTAGCCGAAAATTTAACTGAAGAAGAATAAAAATAATAAATGGAACTTCTAGAAGAAAAGAAAAAATAACTAGATGACTTATTATCCTAAAATATTTTTGCTAATAATATTAATCTAGTAAATGTGGAAGACTAAGAGCATATTTTGCAATAAAAAATTCAAAAAAGGTAAGATCATATTAAAAAAATGCAAGATTTAATTAAAGAATAAGCACATTTTGACCAATAAATTAGTCAATTGGATGAAATCAAAAATTAATTAGCTTAAATTTAATTATTAGAAACTATAGAAAATGAAAATATTGATTATCAAAAACTTCTATTTATTCTAACCAAAAAATATAATGGTTTAAAAGAAGATTTAGAAAAAATTAAATTTCAAAACGTAAAAAATATATAAGAATCAATAATTCCTTTTATATGAAAAAAATGCATTTCGTTTAAAAATAAATTTATAAAAAAAAAAATAATAAAAAAGTTTAATATATCTTTTTATGATAATTAAAAAACAAATATATATAAATATAATAAAAAATACTAATTATATTTATTAATATATATATATATATATATATATTTATATATAATTTCATTTTTTATTTTATATATAGTTCTTAATCCTTTCAATTAGTTCTTCTTTTTTACCAGTTTACCTTAAATCCACACTCTTTAAATATTCTTTTAATTAATTAACAGTCAAAGTCTTCGAATCTGCTGTAAATATTTTCTATTCAACACTATCAATATCTTTAACAACCTAAAAGCTTTATTAACTATTCTCCTCTTTTTTAACTAATTTTTTACCAACTCTTTTTTTTCCTTCATTTTACGTTTCATCCGCCGAATTATTATTTTACTATTTTTATAAAAATATATAAATAAATATTCATATATTAATATATATATATATACATATATATATATATATATCTATTTATATATATATATACATATAAATATATATATATATATTATTACTATTCCACAATCTAAATTAATTGCCTCTTAAAATAAATTTAGAATTTCTTCGTATTTCTTCATTCCTTCCTCATCTGGTGTAATTAAATCTTAAGTTTCTTCAGGACTAATTTCATTAAGTGCATGAGCCTATAAATGAGCATAGAATTTCTAAAGACCCGGATCTTCGAAATTTCTGACGTCAAAATTATGAATTTCCAAGGCATTACATATCATTTTTGCACAATTAATTAAATTATTATTAACTTCTACTTTTTCTTCATGTTGTACTACTTTTGTTAGATCTCTCATATCATCACTATATGGTAGACTAATAAGATAGAATCCTGGTGGCTATTATACATGATCTTCATCATAAGCTTCTTCCTATGGCAAAAGTGCACAAAACCTTACCTAAGATCCTCTTTTTGGTTAAAATCTAACAATAGCGATTTTATTTTTAGCCTTCATTTGTGTAATTAAGGCATGGAAAAACTATGAAGACCCCTTAACTTAAAAGTCATCAGGATAAACAAAATAACTAGGCCTATAATTGTGATAAACCTTCAATTAAGACAAAGGTTTAAACCCAATTAAGGTCATAGAAGGCTCTTAAAAATGCTTCATTTTTTACACATCTTTTGAGCTGATTCTGACTTTTTCACCACCCAAAATTATACACTATGAAATTTAATTTGGATAGAGTATTTGGCCAGTTTCACTACAGATGTTCTTTGTTGTCTTTTTCAAAAGCTTATTTGAAGCCTAATCTATGTATTTCGGAAAAGGCTTTCTCACTTTAATATATGGACAATAAACTTTAGTACCTACAATACTATCTTTACCTATATATAATAAAAGTCTATTTATAGGTCTTTTTTTGTATTCTTTTTATCTCAAACGATTTTACAAATCAAGAATTTTCTCAGAAGAATCTATTAAAGACTCATTTATTTCATCTACATCCAAAGCAATTATTTCAGTATAGAATTTTCTCAAATCAAACTTTTAGTGAGCGTTAGGAAGTGGAAAAAGTTCAATTTAAGCATCCATTTCGGCTAATAATTTAGCTTAATGGATACATTATTATCTTTCTTATAATGGAGGAGGATTATCATCATTTGTAAATAAGAAAATTCTCATAGTATTTCTTTTTCTGTCTCTGTAATATATAAATATTTTAAGTAATTTTTTAAAAATAAAAATATATATATATATATATAATATATATAATATATATATATATATATATATATATATATATTTATTTTCAAATACATATTTACATAAATAAAAATATATACATATTATATGATTTACTTGCTTTAGAACATATGATTACATAACCATAAAACTTCATAAAGTTTAACCTTTTAATTTCTAAAACCAAATTATTATTCAAAGTTTTAATCTAATTATAAAAATTTAAAATTAAATATTTTTATATTAAAAATTATTATTTATTTATATTAACCTAATTTTAATACATCTTTTATCATTTAAGCTGAAGGAGATTCTAAAGGATATACTGTATTTATTCCATTAAAAGATAATAAATTGCTTGTTTTATCCTTTTAAAAAATATATATTTCTATATATAAATATATAAATATATATAAATATATATATATTATATATTTATATATATTTATATTATAACTTTTTTAAAATTATATATTTTTATATATATTTTCTATTACCACATTATAAAATATTAAACTAACTTTATCATCTACATTTAATATGATTTTTGATTTAAAAAAGCTTTAAATACTCTTTAATACTGTATTAAATTATGACTATATTAATAAATTTAATATATTAAATAATTTGTATTTTCTATATATACTTCATTATTTGGATTCCCTTCTTGTTTTTGAAAAATTTAAGGATTACAATCAACTGCAAATATTACGCAATCTTTTTTACTCAAAAGATCTGGTACAGCCTATATTTGTTATATCGATATATAATTTTTTATTTAATAACTAATTCAATATTAAATATATATATACAGCATCATCCTCATCTATATATAATGCATCGAAGTCATCACCTAATTCTTATTCTTCATTTTCAATGTTATCATCATCAAACTCCATTTTTTTAAATATTTTTTTTTTTTTTTAAGATTTTCTTTTTTATATAATAATAATATAATTTTTTAATGTTTATTTAATATATATAAATTGATTATTATTGCGGGCAAATAATAACATATAAAATAATAAATCCTGCTAATAATTTATAAGAATAATACAATAAATTTAAATATAAATAATGTAAAAAAATATAAACAAATAGTTTTTTAATATATATAAAATAATATATATATATATATATATATATATATATTATAATTAATTAAATATTTTGTAAATTCATTTATATTTAATTTAAAAAAAAAAATATTAAGTATTAAGTTTATATTTAAAAATAATACTTATTTTTTATTTTTATATTTAAAACTTATAATTTTATATAATATTTGATAATGTAAAAATATAATATATATTATATATTAATTTTATTATTTTGTTAAATATATAAAGTTTTATAAAATAATAAAATCTGAAAAAATTAAGATAAAGTTTATAATATTTATAAAAAAATTTTTTTTCTAATATTAATAAGTTATTAATTTTTTTGAAAATAAAAAATAAATGAATTTTTAAATGTAAAAAGTTAAAAATAAAATAAAAAAAAAGAATATTAAAATAATCAAAAATATATATATATATAAATAAATAAAAACACAATATGTTATCTATATTTAACCTATTTTAATCAAAAAAATTCATTTTAGGAATATCATTAGGGGCTATAATATCCCTAAATATATATTAAAGGATAAAAAATGAACGAAAACCATAAAAATCCTATAATATATAATCAATAAAAAGCCTTCCAAATGAATCATAAGATAAAAAAACACAAGAAATAGATAAAATCATATAAGAAGTAAACTCTAAAAAGTTAGAAAAAGACACTTTAGAATTTATAACATAAATACTAGAAAACTCGATTAAATTAGGTAAAGAAGAATATATAAATTTAACAATAAAAAACAGATAAGAAAGGAGAAAAAGTTTAAAAAAAGAATATTATTAAGAATATTTAGATATTATATTATTATATAATTATGACGTAAATTAAGTTATGGAAAATAACAAGGACTTATTATTAGATAAATTCGGACTTTCTCCTTAAGAATTTGAAGAAAATCTTGTAAAAATTATCGAAAAAGGGAACTTTTAAGAAGTTTTTCTATTCCAGGAAGGAATTTAATAAAGTTTAAAAAGCTTTATTCCTTTAAAATAAGAATGTTTGATAAATGAGAATAATATAAAGGAAATATTAAAGTATTAAAATACTATATTTATAGAAAAAATGAAATATTAAAAATATTATATCTAAAATGGAATTAAATCAAGAAAATATATAATAAATATCATCTATTATATTCTGTTTAGTTAATGATTTTGTATATGAAAAATATGAAATAGAAGAAGAAGACATTTCTATATTTACAAAAAACCCTTAATTAATTTAAAATTAAGAAATTATATAAATAATGGAAGAATTAGAAATTAATATAGCCGATTTTATGAAAAATATATATGAGAAAAAATGAAAAATATATATATATAAATATATATATATATAGATATATATATATATATATATTTATATATATTTTCTTTTTTTTGTCTATTTAATATTTTTTTTTTATTTTTATCTTCTTTTATTTTTAAATAAATTTTTTATTTTATTTTTTTTCAATTTAAAATTTATAAAATTTATTCTCTTTCATTTATAATGTTTACACATTAAGTATATTACTCAGCCAAATAATTTTCTAATTAAAATATAAATTAAGTTGATTATAATTTCTAATCTAAAAATTCATAAAAATCTTACTCATTTATATTATATTCTTCTAATTTTTTAAAATCACTTAAAATATTAATAATAGCTTTAAATCCAAGTTTTTAACTATAATTAGTTTTATTTAAACTATTAATTACTTATTCTTAGCATTTTATTTAATATCCTGGATAATTTAAATACTTAAATTAATAAAAAGTTCCAATTTCATCAATTAATCTTTTTATAAATATAAAATAATAAATAAAAGATAAAGATAATACCCATTTTATAAAGCTTGTTAAGATGTAAATGTTTATCCATTTAATAATTAAGATATAGCCTATTCTTCATTAAATCCCTTATATTTTATATATATAAAAATATATATAAATATATATATATTTATATATATATATATTTATATAAATTTATATTTATATATATAAATTTTATATTTATTTGTATATATATTAAAATTCAACAAAATATGTACTTTTGATTCAAATTATCTTCTACGATTTTGTACAATTCTTTTTTGAACTTCTTTTAATAATTCTTCGTTTCTTGCTTATGCAAATTCCAAATCTTCTTTGGTAGGTTTAGTCAAAGGTAAAAAACTATGTTTAGTTTTTGAATAAACTTCAAATTTAATGCCGTATTTTTCCAAAAGTTTTTCAAAAGAAAAATACTAGATTCTCGTATGAATGCTTCCAATTAATGATAAAGGGTCTTTTATTTATATTATTTCTTAATTTTTATATAAATAAATTACTTCCATATACTTTTTCACCTAAGCTTAACAATAGATAACCATTACCTAAAGCATAATCTTCAGCAAAAGTATATAGAGGAGCTCTTTAAAAATAATATTATATAAATATAATATATATTATATTTTTCTTATAAGAAACCTTAAACTTTCACTTGTTTATTTTAATGCATCGTAATAAGTAAATGATTAAACGACACTATTTTTAAAAGCATCTTTTATTTAAATAATTATTTATATCTAATATATAAAAAATACAATCTTAAGTATTTATTTAAAGTGCAAATACTTATCCATTATAATATCTCATTTTTCTTAATTACTTTATATTTTTTTCTAATCTTTTTTTGTGTGTGTGTTTTTTTTAATTTTTTAGATAAATAAAAATCATTAATTTTTGGACATTTTTTTTTGTTCATTTAAGTTTTTTGTTTTTAACAAAAAAAATTTAATGAAATAATAAAAAAATCTTATAAATAAAATATATATATATATATATATATATACACAGGACTGCTTAATACTTCTCTAATGCCAAAAAGCCAAATTTATGGTTTTTATTATTCAAAAAATTAAGCTACTTTTTATAATGCCATTAATATTTTTATTTTCTGATAATAATAGTTATTATATTTTATCTTTAAATTATATTTTTTTATATAGATATTTTTTTATTTTTTTGTTATAAAAACAAAACAATTTTAATATATTTATTTTTTAAAATAAAAATTTAATCAAAAAAAAAAAAAGGGGGTATAAAAAATAATATATTATTATAAAAAGTATATACAAACTTATAAATAAAATAAAAAATTTAATTTATCATTTTTTCCTTTTTTTTTTTTTTTTTTTTTTTTTTAAAAAAAAAAAAAAACAAAAAAAAATATATAAATAAAATTTTATAATTAATAAAAAAAAATTTACTTTTCTAGTTTTATTGTTAGATTTTTAAATTCGTAAAAAACATATTCAAAGTTATCTTTTACTAATTGTAATTGTTTTATTAATTCATCTATTCTCGGGTATTCCTTAAACTTTACAGTTTTAACTAAAATTTATTGAAATTATTTGCCCAACTATTGAGCAGCTTGCATTTCTATATGAGAATCTCCCAAGCAAACTAAATTAGTAACAATCTAAAAATAAAATAATATAAAAATAAACTAAAATAATATAATATAATATAATATAAAATAAACTAAAATAAAAAAGAAATAATACTTATTTATCATGAAATTTTTATAAATCTTTAAACGCCTCAATTTTCCATTAATAGCATTCATTAGGAAAATAATTCTCATATCTACTTCTTGCGGATATAACTTTAATATTATTTTCCTATATAACCTAATAAGTTTAATTCAAAAACATTTAACTAGTTTATTAAACCCAACCTTCTTAAGCATTTGTAATAATATATACATTTCCATAATCTACTACATGTTTTAAAGTATCCGCCTATATATTTATAAATACATATATTTTTGGTTAAAACCTATAAAACATATATATTTTACTGCAGTTTAATCTAAAATATCAATTTATTTTTATTATTATTCTGTAATATTTTAAAAATTTTAAACTAATAAGCTGGAAGTGCAAAAGATAGTATCATCCCAATCAAAAATAATAACTATTTTTTGTTTTGTTTTGTTAAAAAAATAAAATAAAATAAAGTTTAAATTTACTTGTTTAATTTTTATGATTTTATTATGTTTTCAAAACTCTATTTACAGTCAGTTTTTATATATATTTTTACCTAATATAATCATTTTTTTATATATCTGCTTATATATCAATATCATCATTCAAAAAACTTTGATCTAAAATCAAATCATCGATTTAAAGTCCTCTACTGTCCACAGTACTAATTTATTTTGTCTCTTTATCATTAATTAACATATCAATTATCATTTTTTATTGTTCAGAAAATTATTATTCTTATTCTTATGTTATTTCTTTAACATTTAATGGTACTTATTTAACTTGATATTAAATTTTTTATTCCGAAATACTAGTTTTATAAACTTTGTGTTTGGCAAGAATTTAATACGAATGCATTTTTTATAGTATATTATATTTTATATACTTTAATATATATATTTTTTTTATTTTAATTTCCTTTTTTTTAATAAATTTTTTTTATTAAATTTATTATTTTTCGTTTTGATATATAAAAAAAATTATATATTATTTTTTTTTTTATTAGTTATATAATATAATATAAAAGATTTATATATAAAAATTATTTTAAATTTTCCTTAAATATATATATATATATATAATTAATATTATTTTTTTATTTTTTTTTAATTTTATATATTGATATTATTTAATT